ATGGAGTGAGCAGTAATGTTAATAACCCACGTGCTGCTGCTGTAAGCAACATCTAGCCATGCTTCTGGAGAGCAGGCAGGTGAGTGCTGGACTGTTATGGGAAGAAATGCATGCCATAAATGGGGAAAAGCGGGGAGAAGTGCTGAGAATACATTAGGTTGCTAAAGTATAAAATGCATTTTTGTCATATTTACAGCTTCCAGCCAAAGTCTCTCTGCAAGAAGAGGCTGAGTTATACTGAGGGTTTCTTTCATCTTGGCCATGAAGAACAGTTTACTTCCCCTCTTGCAGCAGGATTTTACAAACTTGAAAACTGTTATCACGTCTCCCTCAGTCTTCTTCTAGCTAGACTAAACAATCCAGCTCTTTTTAATCTTTTATCTTTTGCCATATTTCATGTAACTACTTTTCAAATACGACCTATGCATCCACCTTACGAAGAGCTCCATCAAGACCACTGCTTGTCAAAACACCACTTGAAAAGGTCTCAAAAGCCCTACCAAAGTGAAGCCATACAACATTTCTTTCCTCCTCACAACACATATTAGTCTTTTCTGCCACGAAGCCCTATTATTCCCTTACAAAAACACATAAGCTGTATTTGTAGGTGCTTTGACTTGTGCTTAGCTTACCTAGAGTAGGATATATTTTCAGGTGTAGCCTCTGCTTTACCAAAGGATTTGGTCTACACACTCAAAACCTAACCTTTGGTATTTAACTAGTGCTAGCTTTCCAAGTGTTTCCACTATTCCCTGTTCCATTCCTTTTTGCTCTCTACCAGTTTCTCTCTTCCACATTTATCAGTATAAAAATATTTGGCTCTGAAATGAAACTAGAGGCATGGGATGTGCTAAGCTTAGAGCATTTTGTTCTATGGCAGGCTAGGGATGACCTTCACATGGTCTGTGAAGAGCCATAAGACATGCTCCAGATGCCTCAACACCCAGCACAGATTATAGCAGAGCCAGCACAGTTGTGGTTAGATTAGGAGAGCTTGAATATAGATGCTCACACAGTCCTTGGCTTGGATGACAAATCCACAATGAAGATATTGCCCTAAAAGGGGTGGTACTGGGAAACAGAGGAAGTCTGTGCTTGAGCAGAGAATTGCATTAAGTTCTTCTAAATTCCATACTAAACTCTGGACCATTCTTCTTCTCAGCCCACCGAATTGTACATAAACAAACCAATATTTGCACTTTAAAAGAGAAACCAGGATTCCATGTCTGACAATGACAGAGGAGATGGTGGACAGATTTCAGATCATTTGGTGTAATTTTTTATTTTCACACAGAAAGAGGGAAAGGTCCTAGAACTGTTAATCGTCCCAAGTACTTCCAGGTGGTTGTTTCCACACAGTCATGGAATCAACCCAGATCATGGTGGCTGTGGGCAGGTCCCATGCCCTGGAGCTGTGTGTCTCCAGAGCTTTGATCCCAGGCATCATGAATCTCTCAGGAGGTGAATTCATGGCTACGACAAAACTGGGCAAAAGGTGCAGCAAATCCTGGCTGCAGTGCATCTCCTCTATGTGCAATGTCAGTCTAAGGATGCATATTCCTTCCACATGCAAACTCCTTGTCTGCCAGCCCAACCTATGAAATGTGGTTTGAGGATGAATCAAAGTCATACAGTGAGGATCAGCTTGTTCTAGACTGAGAAAATATGAAAACCAGAAGCAGAATAACAAATGACTTCACATTTAGCTTTGAATGAATTCAGGAATGACAATACAACACTACAAGTTGCACCAAAAGAAGAAAAGGTTTCTGAAATAACACTAGCAAAGAAAGAACCGGTACAATTAGTGTTTGCCTGCCATAGAGAACTTTGGTGTGAATTAATCAAAAAACAGGGCACCCAGGTGATGAAACAGTGGTAGGGAGGCTGCTCTTCAAAACAGTTGCTTCAGACTCCATTGGTCTGTGCTTTACTCTTGATGAAGCTGTGAGACAGGACCTGGTTAGAGCTGCCAGTCTCCAATGCAAAGAGGAGGGCAACCATCCAGAGGGAAGGGCAAGAAGCTCTCTTTAGGCCTCTGTATCTGGTCAAGTGGAGCAGGAAGAGACACTACAGAGGGACATCATGGACACAAAGCAAACTTCTCTCTGTTTTCCTGAGGATCATCGTCCCCGCCTCTTGCAACTGAACATCAGGGAGAGGAGGTGTGTGCAAAGGAAAGAGAAATGCAGAACCTGGGTGTAGGATTCAGTTCACTGGGCTACGCTGCTTTCTGTTGCTCTTCAAGGACAGATGGGAAACAGCAGGAGAGAAATCGAAGGTGCTCATGGACAAAGACACAGCTCTTGAGGTAAAGGGTCTGTTTAAATAACAGCTGTCAGCAGAGGAGATCGGTGTCTTCCTGAGGCAGCTGTGACAGAGTGGACAAAGGAGGGTCTATACCTCTCCCAATCTTCCTCCTTGCACTCACTGCTAAATCACAAGGAAGACAGG